GTGGGAGTGCAAGCTGGTACAACCACTATGGAAAGCTGTATGGAGATTCCTTGGACTACTTAAAAATGGAGCTAATGGGCCCTTCTGGTGGAACAGTGGGTTAAAGCACAGTACTGCAAGCTAGCAGCAGCTGCTTCAATGCGAGTTGGATCCTGGCCCTGGAGGTATTCCACATGGCACAGCAGACCTCTCCTTTCTTGTCACTGCCCCCCTCAGCAGTGTACTTTGTCGATCTGCTTGTTCTGCTCCTTACTCTGTCTCTGGTGAATCCTCTCACTGCCCCTGCACCTCTGTCCTGTACCCTGGTTCTGTATGCATAAATAAATAAATCTTAAAAAAATGGAGCTACCATATGATTCAGATCTTATGGATCTACCCAAAGGACACAAAAACATTAATTCAAAAGGATACATGCATCCCTATATTTATTGCAGCACTATTTACAATAGGAAAAACATGGAAGCAATTCAAATGCCCCAAATTGGATGATTGGATCAAGAATATGTGGTGTGTGTATATATATATGCACATATATATATGTGCATATATATATACACATATATATATGTATATACATACACACACAATGGAATAATATTCAGCAATCAAAAAAGATAAACTCATGCCAATCGCAGAAACATGGATGGAGCTAGAAGGGGTCGTGCTCAGTGAAATAAATAAGAAGGGAAAAGAAAAATATCAAATGGTTTCATTTATAGGAGGAATATAAGAGAACCAAACAAATATAGGGGGGGAAAACTATTGCTATTACAATACAAAACAAAACAAAAACACAGTTACAAACCAGAGATATTTTATATGGGAAGGAGAGGAAGAAGGTTCTGAAGGAGGGAGGGAGGGAGGAATGTGGGTGAGACGGTGGTGATGCTGCACATGAGAACTGGGGAAGGGGGATGTAAACATTGCTTTTTTTAAGATTTATTTATTTATGCTTACAGAACTGGGGTACAAGCCAGAGGTGTGGTAGGTGAGAGGATTCACCAGAGACAGAGTGGGGAGCAGAATAGCCAGACTGACAAAGTACACTGCTGAGAAGAGCAGTGGACAGGTCAGGAGCGGTCTGCTGGGCCATGTGGGTCAGCTCCCTGGCTGGGGATTGAACTCGTGCTGCAGTGGCTTCGGAAAGCTTCATAATGCAGTGCTTTAACCTGATGAGGGAGTGTCCTAAACATTGTTTTAAAATGAAAACAGTAAAATAATTTAAAAAACTCCACTAATTAGAAAGAAATTCTTGTTTACTGCATCACTGTTTACAACAGCCAAGGTATGGAAATAATCTTATTGTGCCATAAAAGATGAGTGGATCAAGAAGGTGGGGTGTATATAAATAGTAGAATACAATTAGGCAAATAAACAGTTAACTCATGCCATTTGCAGCAACATGAATGGAACTGGAAGGAATTTTACTATGGTAAATAAGCCGGAAGGATAATGATAAATAGTGAATGGTGTAACTTATATATGGACAATAGTAAAACCTGGTAAAGGATCAGACAAAAGTAAACTTTAAAATGAATGTGTGAGAACTCAGCTTAGATCTGTGACTTTCATAGGGGTAAGGGGAGGGGAGGTGAGGAGAGAGGGAGCATGGGGCAGGTGAGGGGGGCAGAGCACAACTGACTATGTTGGAGTACTCTGGGTGCTTCGATAAGATGGTGAATACACATAAGGGGCAGATCCTACATTTTCACCATTACCTGAAGAGGTTTTCCTTTCCCTTCAGTGTATATACTTGGTTCCTTTGTTACAGATTAACTAATAATTGTGGGTTTATTTGAGGGCGGTGACACTGTTATCTAGTCTCATTGCACCTTAGTTCTACTATATGTATTCGCCACACAGCACGCAGAATAATGCATAGTGTGAGCCAAGACATTTCTTTGGTTTACAAAATTGTTCCTTCTTTAATTATTAACCACCAGTTCACCAATAAATAATATCTGAACTTCACATCAAAAATCAATAAATTACCCATAGACCTGCCTCTGTTTGAAAAAACAGAATTTTATTAGACCATTCATTTGTTCACATGTTTTCAATGGCTGTTTTCCCACTGAAAAGACAGTGTGGAGTAGTTCTGACAGAGGTCTAACCTCCAAAGTAAAAAAACATTTACTATTTTATTCTTGAACAAAGTTTGTTAATCCCTGCATTAGATCCATAGTCAATTACTTCTTAGGTATTGGGTATCTCCAGATGCCTTTCTTGAACTGTAGATCAACCTTCCTCAAACTGAGCTGTTTTCTGCCTTCCTTAAACTACATTCTCTTATGTATGAAGAATGGCCCTCTCTATCCAGTTGAGTCAGAAATCTAGGCTTGAGACATATTTTTCTCTCACATCTTCCACTTCCAAGCACTAAGTCCTACTTTTTTTTTTAAGATTTATTTATTTATTCCTATAGAACTGGGGTACAGGCCAGAGATGAGGAGGGTGAGAGGCTTCACCAGAGATACAGTGGGGAGCAGAACAGGCAGATCAACAAAGTACACTGCTGAGGGGAGCAGTGTGCGGGTCAGGAGAGGTCTGCAGCGCCATGTGGTCACCTCCGGAGCAGGCGGGGTTAGAACTCATTCAGAAGTGGCTTAAGCTTCTTAGTGCTGTGCTTTAACCCGCTGCGCCACCAGGGAGGACCCAAGTCCTACTGCTTTTGCCTCCCCGTTATATTTCTCACTGTCCTCATCGAGACCACAATTGTTTCTTACTCAAACTATGGCAACACATTATTTCTGTGATAAGACCTTCACACTACAGCTAAGATAATATCTTCTGACTATAAGTTTGACCATTAAACTACTTTTATGTTCAAGCAGTGCTTTCTTATCCTGATGAATTATTTCAAATATTCCTAACACTTCATTTAGGCAAAATGCCCTTGTAAGAAGGTTCCTATCTCCAGTCACATCTCCTGCCACTCTTATTTCCATTTCATGTTCTAACAACACCAGATGGCTTTGAATTTTAAGCCCTCGAGTCTTTGTCCACACTAGGTCATCTCCTTCAAATTTCCTTTCCCTATTTACCTTCCATAGCACCTTCAGTATTGATCCAGGTTGTAGTTCGTTCCTTGACAATCCTAAAGTGACAATTCCAGTATCACTGTATCAAATAATTGTTCAGACAGAAACTGTGTAGTGATTAAGGACTTCACCTCTGAGTCAGGTTTCTTAGATTTAAACCCCAGCTCTGTCAACTAGCTAAATAGTCTCGGGCAAGTGACTGTCACAGAGTGCTATGTGTTTATGATCATCTTCACATTTTAACTGAAAAAAAAAAAAACTATCAGAGAAGTTAAGTTGTTTGATATAACAGATAGTATGGCAGAGAATGACATTGGTCTTCAATACCCATTCTCTTTTTTTGTTAAATGAACTAAATAAAGTCTTAGCTGGATACATGGCTACCCCATATAAAAACTATACTCACCTGCTTCCCTGATAGTAAAGGCAATCATGACATTAAATTCTCACAGCAGCATGTGAAACTAAAGTGATACTGTGACTTCTATGTCACAGCCTTAAAGAAAGGATTGTATCCTCTACTTCCCTTTATTTCATCTTCTCAACTGAATAACGTAGGGGATATTTAATCAGTCACATTAAGTAGGATGACAGAGACATAAGAAGGAAGGAAACTGGCTCTGTCAATCACCATATCATTCCTAGGTCACCTCACAGGACTATTCAATAATCAAGAAGTAAATGCTCCTGTGTTGGAGTCACTGTACGTTTGTATGTGGAGTTGTAACAGCCTAATCTGTATCTGCCTAATACTGTTAGTAACCAGTAGAAGTTGGATTTAAAAGGTGAACACTATCTAACATACCACCAGCAACCTCCCTGCACAAAACTTAGTAATACTTTGCTAGGATGGTACTGACTGCTAGAAAGCTTAGAGCCAAATGTTAAGTCCATCTGTTATAAGCAAACAGCTTCATTCCTGAATTCATTTTCTGTATCTTGGTGTTTTCTCTTAAATTTCACCTAATCATAGTATATACTAACTTGTATGCATATACCACAAACAATGTTGCCTTAAATTTTATCATAATGAACAAGGTTTACTTCAATAAATAAGGTAGTTTTCTTTCTGGTTTTGTTTTAACGTATTTATAGTGATTGAAGCATCATTGTTTACCATGCCTGTTAGTATTCTGACAGCAAAAGATAACCCCTTCAGCTGGAGCCACCACAGCATTCACACAATGAGGCCCTCCTACTGCTCCACCAAGGTCCATTGTGGTTTCCCCTGCTCCCTGTCCCTCACCCCTCACGCTCCCCCTCTGAAAGCAACAGATCTATGGGCAGCTTTCAAGGTTTGATTTTAAATTTGTTTTTACCTGACCCTTTGGCTTTACTCTATTCCACATATAAGTGATACCATCCAATATTTATCTTTCTCTTTATTACATCTCTTAGCATAAATCCGTTTAGCTCCATCCATGTTCCTGCAAATGGTATGTGTTTATCTGCATAAACATTGCATGGTGTATAATGAGGAATTCTCTTGATCCGCTCGTATGTTTTGGGGCAGTTTGGTTTTTTCATATCTTGGTGTTTGTAAATAATGCTGCTATAAATATAGTTGCACAGATTTCCTTTTGAATTAATATTTTTAAAATTTTTGGTAGCGATATTGCTTTCTTAATGATTTCACTTAACCTATACTACTTTTATACTTCTCATTTTCCTCTGCTTACAAGGCTGTCTACATGTTAGACATGTACTCCTTAAGGTATAGAATGATTTTTCTTCTATCCTTTGTAGCATGTGCCTTATAATAAAAGTTAACTGTTCAAGCAATGAGTGCTAAATTAATGAATCTCATGGGGTTACAAATGCTATTAAATATCACTGCATCATAATGGAAATTCTTTCTATTACCAACTTGAGCAAGGGAGGGAGATAGAATTCTAGAAGGTGGGTAGGAGTAGGTGTCATATATTTGGGGGCATGGTGGTAAGTATAGGAAATACATACCTTAACAAAGTGCTCAATTAGGATTTCCACCACAATGTTCTGGAATTTGATGTTCATCATAGCAGCCACAGTGTCCTCCTGAGCTCTCATCAGAGTAGGACCAAAGATCACACCCATGTTGGAGGGAGTCATGAGATTCTCTTTGCTGTGTTCACACACACTACCAAAAGAAAAAAAAAATATTAACAGGTTTTGCTCCAAGACCCCATTGTAACCAAGAATGTATTAGGTGCTCAAGGGGGTTAAATGAACTAAAAAGTAGAAGGAAAGAAAAGGCCTAAATATACATAGGAAGAACAATCCATAAAGGTAGCAACTAGCATGGAATATAAAAGAATATATAAGCAGCAAAGTGAGACTGTTAACTGGAGAACTTAAGAGAACAGGGATAGGGTTAACAGAAAGTATTTGAGAAGAAAGAAGCAAAATAACATTCCAGGCAAGAGACAGCATGTGTAAAGCACAACTAAGGAAGAACAAAGCACACAGAGAAAGTGCTAACCAGTCTCAACAGTCAGGAATCTAGCTCCTTCCTTATCCCAAGCTGGAAAAGCAAAACACTCAAAGAGCTAAGAAAGGTCCTTAGGATTTGCCCTTTATCACTGTCTTCACTTACCAATGAAAACAGTTCAATGAAAACAGTTCAAAGAAGGAAAGGGATTTGTGTGAAGAAACAGCCTGATTAGGACCTGTAATTCTAAATTTTCTGATCCCCAGTTACTTATATTTCCTTTAGTGACTTCAAATCACTTATAGAGCATTCCAAACTCTCTTTAAAGCAACACCAAAGCCTTGCATAACTTGCTGCCTATTTCTAATCCAATGCACAACTTGGATTCTAAACCCAAACTGGGTTTGATCCCAACTCTGCCACTTATTAGTCACACATTTCTGAGTGTTAGTGACCAAACTCCACTGGGCTTCAGCTTTCCCACTTGCAATTACGGTATCTATTTCAGAGTGTTCTTGAATAAATAGAACTAAATTGCTTTAGAAAGACATCCTGAAAAATATTCCATTTTAAGTTTCTGCTAGTTTTTATTATCATTCAAGGAGATATCCCCCACCTTCATCTAGGTCTTGATAACCTCTAACACTTAATATAATGAAGTATTTAGATTAGGTTTTCTGGTTATGGCATGGCATTTCAGACCTCCATATGTTTACTCATAGCATTCCCACTGCAGAAAGCCTCCATCCTCCTAGATCTGAAGATTATTTATTTATCCTTTGAGATTCACTTTAGTTAACATATTTTTTGGGACTGTCACAGTTCACTATCCTCAAATGATTGACACCACTGGGCAAGCAGAGTATGTTGCAATTTTCTGTTCTTATCTGCCTCTCCAAGTGGTAAACAACTTCCAAGTATGAGTGTGTGTGTTACACACAGCAGGCACCAATTAATTAATTTTAATGAATCGGAGCACCTCTAAGTGCTCTCTCCAGTAGTACTGGAACAGACAGACAAAACTGTGCAGACCTTTGGGCAAGTTTGCCTGTTGGTGGGAAGGTGACCACATTGCATATCCTACCAGAAACACTCACTTTCCAAACCTGCCCAAGTCCAGTACTCTAAGAGACTGAAAGCTAACAAAAGGAAGGCTCTTATCACTAAGTGGTTAATAGACAGGGACCGAATCCTTAGACAAATCTCAGTGAAATCTGTTAAATCTAACAAGGGCTGAGTGCCATTCAGATCCTAAGGAACAGCAACTACTCAAAGGCCTTTGGCATTGCTGGGCTGTTGATGAATCCCTTTGAACAGTTTAAATGTGTCTGCAATTAACCCTTATTCCTTCTTTTCTGAAGAACAGAAAACACTAATTCAAAAGATATATGTAATCTTTTTTCTTTAGTTACATTACTTTTTCAGACGTTGAAATGGATAAGCAACTCCATGCTGCCACCAACTGATCCATTAGGGAAAAGGCAATTATTTCCTATTAAGAGCTTTGAAAGGAATTGACTGGTTGAATGTGCCAACAACTTACATATTCCTCACAACTCTACAGGTAGTTATTTTATCTATAAACCCTATGTTCACAGCAGGTAAAGTACTTACTCAAGGTCACAAGGGAGTAATCCTTAAATATGGGGATTTAAGCACATTATCTGTTGGCTCTAATTCTTAACAATCATCCCATTTTATCCCTCTGTCTGCTTGTGTAGTTCCCCTCAACAAATGAAAGACTCTGTTCGGACTCCTTTAAGTTAAAGCCTTCTGAGCCCTCCCTGGTGGCACAACGGGCTAGGTTGCTGCACTGCAAGCTGGCTGCAGCCACGTCAGTGCAGTTCAATCCCTGTCCCTGAAGGTGATCCACATGGTGCGCCAGACCTCTACTGTCTCCTGACCTGCCCGCTGCTCCCTCCAGCAGTGTACTTTGTAGATCTGCCTGTTCTGTTCTGCTCCCCATTGTGACTCTGATGAATCCTCTCACCAGCTCTGCACCTCTGGCCTGTACCCCAATTCTGTATGCATAAATAAATAAATCTTTAAAAAATAAATAAAACCTTCTATGAGAGAGCATTCTGGTATCCTACTTACACTTTTACTTATCGGCCTTACATGAGATTTGACAGGTAACACATTCTTCATCTATGACATTTCTCCTTATACATTTTGAAAACCATTGAGAGGCATAAAATCACAAAAATTGTGAGTTAATAAGATGAATTTAATAAAAAAATAATGGCTTTATGAGGAGTGAATTAGGTGTGAATGTGAGATATGATTAGACAGGAAATAAATCTTATACCCTCTAATTTACAGACTAGAGAAAAGGATAAAATTTCTCCATTCAAAATTTAAATAAAAGGAGCAGTGGTTTATTAAAAACCTCAAGTTAAGGAAAATAATTTGATTAGACTATTTAGATCACAAGACATAAATTAAAATATCTATAATAATAAAATTACTGTATAACCCAGCAATCTCAATTCTGGATATATAACCAAAGGAAATAAAATTACTATTTTGCATAGATATCTTCATTGAAGCATTATTCACTATAGCCAAGATATCTATGGCTAAATGTCTGTTGTCTCTCACTATTATATATATACATATGTGTGTGTCTGTGTTTGTGTGTGTGTGTATACACACACACAAACATACACAATGGGATCTATTAATCAACCTTTAATTAGAAGGAAATACTGATCTTTGCAATACCATGTATGAACCTGGAGAACATTACACTTAGTGAATTAAGCCAGGCACAGAAAGACAAATACTACATGATCTCACTTACATGTGGAATCTAAAACAGTCAAACTCAGAAGCAGAAAGTAGAATGGTAGTTTCCACCGTCTGGGGGAATGGGAAATGGTGAGGTATTGGCTGATAGGTATAGTTAAGTAAAGGTATAGTTAAGTAAAGGGATACCTCCTTGACATCTAATTAACTGCTATGGGGCCCTCCCTGGTGGGGCAATGAGTTAAAGCACAACACTATGAAGCTGTCTGCAACCACTGCAGCACGAGTTCGATCCCTGGCCACACATGGTGCAGCAGACCTCTCCTGTCTCACCCATTGTTCCCCTGGGCACTGTATTTCAGTCAATCTGCCTGTTCTGTTCCCCACTCCATCTCTGGTGAATCCTCTCACTCACTGCACCTGTGGCCTGTACCCCAGTTCTTGTATGCAGAAAAATAAATAAATCTTAAAAAAATAAATAAATCTTAAAAAATATTTAGCTATGTATTGTCCACTTGAAATTTGGTGAGAGTATAGGTCTTAAATATTCTCACTATGAAAAGAAGGAAGCAAAGGAGGAAAGGCAGAAGGGGGTAGGAAGGAAGGAAATACACTGCTATGTATACAGAATCTTAAGTTAGCAATGATAGCTTGAAAATATGGAAAAATTAAAAATGCACGTGTTTATTAAAATTACTTCTGTCGCTAATATACTATAGGACTTTAGGTCTTTTTCTAATCTCACATATCTGTTCCTTGTCTATAAAATGAGATTATTCAACTACTATTCAGTGAATCTAAGAGTCTAACTGTCAGGGAAAATGGGAGAAAAGATAGCCACACAGAATCATATATTAAAAACCTATTTTAAAAAATGCTTGCTTTCCCCAGTCTACACACCCAAACAAAACTAGACAAAACCTCAAAAAACAAGATAGAAAAAGAAATAGAGCCAGAACAAACCTGTTGATCCAACTATGGAAACTTGAACAGACAAATGAACTATTTCCTTTACAAGAATTTTACAAGCAAATATAAGAAACAGTAGAGATGAAAGGAAATCTACAGATTGGAAACATGGTAAACCAAAAGGGATCTATCTATGTCATATCAAGCCTTGACCTCTGTAGTCCTACAGGTGATTTTGATACACAAAAAATGTTAATAACAACTGCTTCAAATCAGAGTCACCACACTACTGACTCTGAGTCAAATCCAACCTACCAAATATTTTTATATATGAAGTTTTATTACAGCTCAGTTAAGATCATTTTCTACAAATTATCAGTGATTGCTTTGTACTACAAAGATAGAGCTGAGTAGTTGTGACAGTCTATATTGCTCACAAATCCTAAAATATGGTAAACAATTGCTAATCCCTGATAAGAAGAGATTAAAAGAGTCTTAGAAACATTTAACTAGATTCCTACATATGCACAGTATTTGAACCATGAGTCAAAGATAAAACAATATGACATTATGATACTATTTCAAAATTGAATACAGAATATTTGAATTAAGTAATTACAATTTATTGTCAGATGTGATAATTTTCTTCGTTTTTTCAATATATATACTGAAATATTCATGGATGAAGTAAAGTAATGTCTATGATTTGCTTTCAAATTTTCAGGATTTCAAATTTTTTTTCATTTTCAGGAGGTTGAGGATGGACATTGGTAGAGAGGGGAGAAAGCAAGCCCACCCTGTCTTGGTGGTACAAGGTATATATCATCTTCTAACCTAGGGAATTCTCATCTTCTAACCTAGAGAAATAGGTGCTATACAACAGGCAAGTAAGTAAAATGCTGGGTGCTATAGATTTTTTAATTGTCTTATGTTTTCTATTATTAATAATCTATAAGCTACAGATTTCTTAGTTCTCAGAGAATTTGTATCCGTTTAAACTGACTTGTGGGTACCCCCTGGTGGCACAGGGATTAAAGTCTCAGTGCTATCAA